ACTGCCTCAGAGAAGGGTATAGTTTCTTGACAATGTCTAACAGAAGCTATACTTCCCTTTTGGACACCGCATATACCTGTAAGGGATTCTCTATGCCGTGTCGTTATTATAGTGTGAAAATTAAGAAGGCTTTTACCTATAACAATATTTTCTAAGTAAAGTTTTTATAACTATTAATGGCATTTATGTATAGCGAATTTTTGTTAGTGAAACATTACATTTTCAGAAAGTACTTTAAAACATAAAATAAATTATCCAGGCAATTGATTTTCTTTTGCAATCATACAAATGTTTAAGTGTTATCTCAATACTAGCTAATTATATTGGTAAGAATAGTCTAAAAATAATCACCTGCAACTGGATTTTGTGCTTAATTTAAAGGTCAAACCAGTTATTATAATTTAAGTTTAAATTTAGATTAACAAATAAACTAGATATGTATTACTAGATTATTTGTATTATAAATCATACATATTAGTACATTACAATAATGATCAAATCAAAAAAATGAAACATGCATCAATACTATAATAATTTGAAATGTTGCATATAACCAAATTAAGAGATGATCTTAGTAAAAAAAAATAAGATTTCAGAGTAAATAATAACAATGATTTAGTTAAGGATATCTAGTATCAATAGCATATTAAAAAAAGTACTTATGTCTCGCATTAGTTTTTGGACATATAAAAAGTATGTAATCATTAATGAGTTAAATATTGTATAAGTTAAATAAATGATTAATAATGTAAATGATACAATTGATTAGAGTCTAATGCAATATATATATAAAGAATAAGAAAATAAAAATTAATTGCTTTTTTCAATTTTCAAAAATACTATGTATTAAAGATTAATTGAATGCTTAACTTCATATAATTTGCATTAGTGGTCAGTAAGGGCTACAACAATCTATTATACATATTTTATTGCATTTCATGCAACAAATAATACATATTTAATATTAGTGTTAGTATAAATTAAGATTTTATAAACTCACTATCACCATTGAATAATGGATTAAATAAGTTACTATATATCTCATCATTTAACAAGGTTCTTAACAAACTAGTAATTATCAAAAAAAAACTTTCAGAACATTATAATAATAATAATATTTTTTGAGAAAAGGTATACAAATAACAATATTTCTTAAAAAAAGGTGTATATGCAAAAGAATGAACTTAACAGATTAAAAAAAAAATAAATAAATAAAAAATAGAAAATGCAAGAGCAATTGAAGTATTCTGCAAGAGTCTATGAATCTGAGAACTTATTGTTTCACTTATTTTGGCATCTAAATAAAATTTAAATAATTAGTGATGATAGTAAAATTATAATAATACAAAAATTATAATAATAATGCTTATTATAGAATAATGTGTGATGGTAAAAAAAATAAAGGATAATAATTACACCTTTGCTAAATAATCAGTATAAATAACTTGCAAAAAATATATAAATTGAGAAACATAATCCAAATTGCATATTAATAAATTGTATTCATTATGAATAAAATTAAAAACTGTAAAAAAAACTCTAGTACCAATATAAAAAAGAAAATAACTTTAACTGGTACACGAAAAAAGAAATTATGTGAAAAAAAATACAATAATCCTAATTTAAAAGATGTCGAATTAGCTAAGAAGTATGGAATAAGTGAACAATCAGTATTAGATATTCTCAAACATTCTGAATACTGGTTAGGTCTCAAAGATGATTCCACTTTAATTCAGCTAAATGTCAAAGAAAACCTAATTATCCTGATCTCAAAAAAGCGATGTCTATTTGGGTTAAACAGACAATCAAAAATGTACTTACTCTTACAGGCCACCTTCTTCAAGCTAAAGCTAAGAAATTTGCTAATCATTTTGGAATTATTGAATTTAATGTATCTGATGATTGGCTTGCTAACTTTAAAAAAAAAAATAATATTTCTTCATATTGATGTAGAGAAGAAACCAGTAGTGTGCCTTTGAAAGATGTTTTAAACTTTCATATAGAACTTCAAGAGGTTCTTCGAAATTATGAACCTAGAGACATATTCAATTGTGATGATATAGCACTTTTTTGATGACTTGAGCCAAGCAAGACACTTGTATATAGTCTAGTTTTAGGAAAAAAAAACCAAAGAACAAAGTTACATTTATGATTACTTGTAATTCTACTGGTGATGAAAAATTATCACTTCTTTTTATTTATAAATACAAAACTTCACATATACTTTGTGGTATTGACAAATCTACTCTTCCAGTCTAATATTATTGGAATAAAAAAGAGTGAATACAAAAAAGTATATTTACACATTTTTTAAAACGATTTAATAGTCAAATAAGACTTGCTTGATGAAACATTATTTTACTTCTTAATAATGTTTCATCATATAATTCAGAAAATATTTAAAACTTATCAAATATTTGTATACATTTTTTACCTCTCAATACAATGTTCCATCTTCAGCTTATTAATTAAAGAATTGGTTATAGCTTCAAGGTAATTTTAAAATAATTGTTGCATTTTTAAATCAAGGTTCCTAATTTCAAGCTTTAGCTATGATAATAGTTTATAAGGTTTTTACAGAATAGCATATCTATGAAGTGGGTTTCATTGGTTAGACTATATCTAACTAATAAAATCTATATTGTAATGCATTATTCTGTAAAAATCTTAAGAATCTCAATTCATTATTATTTATTAAAAAGTTATATTTATTTTTTGTAGGCACAATATCGACATATTTTGTGTCAAAATCATTTTGAAGCTTATAATACAATTACCAAAGACAATCCAGTTTCACCCAATATTACACTATATAATGCAATTAACTTTGCAGCTCAAGCATGGAAAAATATTATTGCAGATACAATTATTCATAGTTGGGGTAAAGCCAGTATACTTCCTTCTATTATCTCTATGCTTGAAGAAATCAGATTAGATGTGCCTTTGCCTGAAGAAACTGAATTAAATATGTTCATGCCTAGGGAAACTGAATTGGAGAAAGAAATTATAGATCTTATTTAATATTTACCAATTGATGATCCTATAGATATATATGAATATATTGAAATTAACAATTATTTTTTTTTTTTTTTTTAATATTTTTTTTTTTTTTTTTTTTAAGTTAAAGTCCCTATCTTGGGAGTGGCGATGTTTTTATTCAAGTATATTAGGA